CTCGGGGTTAACATTGATATGTGCATTGTGCTTGGTTAAAAATTCATTTCAAATCAGCAAACGGAAACATTCTGTTACGTCTCGATTCATTTGAGAAGCCATATAAACAACTCGAGCTCGTGTCTCATTGGGATATCTAAACACGAGAAAACAATGTATGAAAACACTCGCGCATCGCGCTCTGTTTTCATACATTGTTTTTTCAATTCGTGTTTGGATATCCCGGTGAAACGAGATGATGCTTTGATATTACGGTGTATACATTTAGATAGAAAGGCATTGCTTAACCACTGTTTGGTTTAACAGAACGAAAGTATATTAATGGTAAGTTCACATTTTCAGACTATGTTTACACGAGACACAATAAAGTCAGGACAGTAGCCACAGTACCCAAATTTGTGCGTTTAGTTTAATTCAGCTTGTACACACGGAAATCGACGTTGTTGATGCAGTTAGCGTGTCTCGTTTCAAGCGTCGCCTGTGAACGGAAAGCGAAATGATATAAACTTGTGTGCGATTTAGAATTTATCCCGTCCCCATGTGAACGTATTCTCAGATTATACTCCCTCGAATGGCTAGTGATTATGATAGAAATGGAATACCCGTCCAGTGACAAGTCGGCGCTTGGCGAAAAAATCCGTGTTGTACAGGTATACCTACTACTTAAGAATTTATACCTACTACTGTTTGCGTTTTTGAAACTAATATATATAGTAATATTGATTCTTGAAGTTTGCAGTTTTCCTGGCAGTTTGCGACAATAATAAATATCGTATTAATTAAATTGCAAAGCATTTAAATTGGGCTGATATTGATCGTGTCTATGTGTAAACAGCGCGTTTGTTTTGTGGAAAATCATAATTTTCCAAACTTACCGCGGCGCTAATAGTCAACTAAGACCCAAGTTACCAAACATAGACGTTAAATGATCTATTTATGTTGTGTTATGTAATAAAATGCATTTTGCATTCACGCTACATTACTTGAGGTGGAATCATAAATTTTGTCACTAAAGTATGTCTACTGTCATTTGATATGTGTTTGCAATCTGCGAGTACGAAGTATTCGTTGCCTTTTCTAAGAAAAACATCCGCACTTCACAGAACATTTCCCCGTATACGCCGTTATATATACGGTCTATGCAAGACAATACGCCGCGCCGCACAGTTTATGCATGCTTTGGTTTGTTTCGTCTTTAATAATATACAAAAAGATATTACTCGACTGTAATTGGTTGATTTGAGTGCAGTTAATCCCAAACAGCAGTGCAATTTTCTGTAACCACAGTGCAATTTTCTGTAACCACAGTGCAATTTTTTGTAATCACAGTGCAATTTTCTGTAATCACAGTGCAATTTTCTGTAATCACAGTGCAATTTTCTGTAATCATGCACAGTGCAATTTTCTGTAATCACAGTGCAATTTTCTGTAATTACAGTGCAATTTTCTGTAATCACAGTGCAATTTTTTTGTAATCACAGTGCAATTTTCTGTAATCATAGTGCAATTTTCTGTAACAAACTGATCATATTGGTGGAAAAACATGTGATGATAAAATCAACCAATCAGTTCAAGGCAGTTTAGTTTAATTTAAAGAAGTAACTGTCACAGATTGCTTCAAAACAAAACAAACATGGCGCCGCGCTACACAAAATAAAAGTTGACTTCGCGTGGAAAATATGGCTCTTATCTTTATTTTTAAATGGAAAAGCCTTTACCTTAACGAGACTAACAAAACTTACACTGTTGAGTGGAATTTTCAAGCTGTTAGCGTTGTATAATGTGATATAACAAAACCGGAAATACTTTGCCAGTGGAATGTTCGCTATAAACATAAGTTAAAACTACAATTGTCTTGATCATTTTTATGTATATTATCTTATATAGTTTAACAAGAGAGATAGATTTTAGTTTTAGATACACTTTTTATTATAGGCCCACATGCATTTTATTCCTCGCTCTTCAGAAAACCACAGTATTTCTAGTGTTTTATTCATTTTCGAAAATGTATTCTTGCTATCGTGTTTGTTAGCGTAAATGAACTAACTGACACTTTTTGTTGCGCAATTTGTTGTCAGTTCCAAAACTGGAGTGATTGTTTCAAAATGGCGGACGACAAAAGAGTGTCGAGAAAGATTATAGTGTCTATGCAGCTAGACTACGGATATATCATGCTCAGGAGGAATTTCTAAAGAAATTGCAGCATTTCGTTAGGAATTGTACATCAGTGCAACAGTCTTTGGATTTTTGTACAATTAATTTTTAATTTGGAGTGTAATTGAGTTCTCAAATTTAGACCAAACAGGTTCAATACTAAAAAAAGGCAACCTCGTACCCAGGGCTTTTTGCTTCCGCAGTTGGATGGTCAGCGAAAGAGGCCCTGGCTTCGGCTGGTTTGTTTTCCAACCTGATTGGTTAATGATGTTGAATGTAATTATTCAATATATGTGGGAATAATTATTATTTTGGTGGAACGAGAGTGGAGTGACAAATTTATAATTAGTTCTTTAAGGACTAAAGTATTGAGCAAATAAGATTTTTGACATTTCGCATGAGTTAGAGAAAAACAATACATCACAAAACAATTTGGTTCAAATTAAGTCTTTGTACATTTTCTATAGACGAGTATTTGCTTCGGTTCAACATTCATTTCACCTCACATGCGTTGTTTACACATCGTTGATTTCAAGAAACGTACAGCGTTATAGTCAAATAAAAGATTGTGTACGAATATATTTGCTCATATTAAACACGATTTATATAAACCAAACGCTGAAGCGATTTTGTTTTGTTTAGTTACTTATTAAGTTATGTTTAAAAGTCATCAATTGAATATTATGGGCTATGTTGCTGAATGCATGAGGTGTGAACAACGAAAACCGAATAAAGTCAACTTATTTTGTTGCTTTCTCCTTGATTATATGCGCAGCATTGAGTTTGTTTACTGCTGTAAGTAATTACAAAGTATATAATTATTCTATATTCGTATACTTATACGCATAAATTAGCATAATTGAACACCCCAAATACTGGAGATTCTGAGGTCATATGACCGGCCGATGCCAGGGCCATTTTCGCTGATCGGAAGCAAAATGTCCTGGGTACGAGGTTGAAAAAAAGGATGCAGGGACACTCACATTGTTATTCTATCAAGTTGCAGACTGCGAGCAGTTCCCCCTTACAAGGAAAGGAGGGACTGAAGACAACACATCAAGAAACGAAATATGCGTTGTCCACACAACGCAAAATTCCGATGGTTGATATACTTAATTGAAAGATCATTTTTTAATGATAAAGTTAATTAACTTTTATGTCTTGTTTTTCAAATTTGAAAGTCAACCGTCAAGTTAAATCATATTAATTAAATCTCGCAGCATTTTTATTTATACTGTCTGAAAGCGTTTAGTATGTTTATTAGTATGCGAGCAAATACCCGTTTAATACGCGCTATAAATAATTACTTGTAGATAATGCCAAAATAATTGTACTGAAGCTAAGTGGCGGTGCGAAAATTGGGTGTATTTTTCGTTTCTTTAAGCATGTGTTGTATGCAGTCCCTCCTTACCTTCAGTTCTTATAGGAGGGACTGCTCGCAGTCTAGTCAAGTTGCTACAAGGTTATCATTTGCAACATGTTGACAAATTGCAGAACGATAATAATTGTTGGAACAACTTGTAATAAGTCGGTTAAGCTCAACAACCTTGTAGCACGTTGTCGACAAGCCGCTGACAACAAGCTGTGAACAAGCAGTTCGAATAATTATAGCATCACTACAAGTTTTTACGCGTGTAAGTAGCTATCACTATCAATCAACTGTCAAAATTTTCTGCTCCTTTAATAAGTGACAACAGAATATTTACTTCATAAAACTATTGTAAAGTTTTAGAAGCATTCAAAGTTTTGAGTGTGTGCATGGACAACATCTGCTATCATAGTTACGTTTATCTTGTTTATCTTGTTGCTTGGACTATAAGAAAATTGTGAACCTTTATATATCCGCATCCCAAAACTAACGAAACCTTTGTTACAGTTTTGGAATTATTTTCTATAAAATGGAGTGAAATAAATTAAAAAGTAATAATTATACCTAAAATAAATTTACGACAATATGAATTAAAAATGTAACATTAAAGGCAGAACGGTACGTTAACCCACAGTTAATAAAATAAGATGGTTTGGCTAGCCGGCAAACTTCAAAGGGTTTTCGCAAGCGGCGGCAAATATGTTGAGGCACAAAGGAAAAATATCACGTGACGCGATAAGGGGGGTGATTGTCTCAAATACACAAGGGATTATATTACAGCTGGCAATCTTTTCGTCTTTTCTCGCCAAAATATTGCGCTAAAGTAACTCGGTTTTCTGTGATACTAAAGTATAACTAAATGAGGGTAATGGACGACGATTTGAGTCAATTGTATCGATTCCAGAAGAAATATATAAGGCAAATATACTTCGAGTTTGGTTGGCGAGGAGTGTGGGTTTGCTGAAGGTGAAGATATTTTGCTGTTTAACTTTGACATCGCTTTGCCTGTAGTCGAAGGAAGTGAAGACCCGATAGAAGAAGAGATTGATGATGCTATATGCGAAATATCCGGCGAAAAGTCGTTCCCTTGCAATAGCTGCGAGAAGATTTGTAAGTCAAAGGGAGGGTTGACTATAGACATATAAACGGAAAACACAAGAACAAAACCGTACATGGAAACAAGAACGTGCCTCCATCAGTAGCTAAACTTACAAAATAAGAGCTATCCTCAATTGTATAGAAAAAATGAAGGCGAAAATAACGAAGGATGGTTTCTGGGACGATGAAATGACTCCAAATATGGCGAGTACAGTATATCATCGAACGATTCTCTATACAACTATATACAGCCAATTTATGAACGATTTTGTCGCAAACGAAACCAAGACAAGTTTTTAATGGAATTTTATGCATGAACTTATTCCAGAGTCGTCTGGGATATTACAATGTAAAAACCAACAACTATGTAATCTTGTAATGATATCCATGCCAGACTATTTAGTGTCGTTGTTTAAGGGGTGTGTTACTGGTCAACAACAGCCCTCTACTTCCAGTGGCAGTGAGACTGGTGTTAGTGCTGCTGTGCTGGTACGTGTTTCATCAGAACTCAATGAACATGAACGTAGGCCTCTATCCTATATAGCAAGTTATGTCTTATCAAATCTGAGGAAGAAATCTGTCAAAAAAAAAGAATGACGAGCTTCAAACCATATTACAAGGCATGATTTTCCCTGATGTGGAAAATACTTACATTGCAGAGGCTCGCCGTAGAGGTGGTCTGGTGACACCATCTCAAGATCTCGTGCGGGTATTAGAGGTTGTTGAGAATTTATTCCGAGAATTTATTCAGAAGCACACCAGTGTTGTAAGGAGGAGTATTCCTCGTGAAAAGTTATGCAATGATGCACTCGACTTGCCATTGCTGAAATCACTATGGGAAAATATTATGGAAGACTGTAGTCAAGAAACTTCAAAACAAACAAAAAAGCTTTGCCTGGAAAATATAGCAAAGCTGTATTTAATGGTTCGACTGAGCTTCTCATATGCGAAAGACTATATCAGCAATTTTAAGATGCAGCAAAAAGCAGTAAAGAACAAAAGTCTACGAAAAGAACTTAAAAGGAAAAATGAGAACAACAATTAGTAACTTATTTCAAAATGTACCATTGTAGTATAGTTTCTGATCTCAGTACCACCAATGCCGTTACCTCTTGCTAACCTGGAGTATGTATGTATTTTGTATTATTTGGTTTAAAATTAGTCAGAACATTTTCGATTGGTACCTTTTAGTAGCGTTGGTGGTGGTGAGGGTCATGATAAAAAGTGCTACAATTCATTTTCAATTTGCAATTTACAATTTACAGCATAATACTGTAATCTGTATGTAGGCTACATGTATGTAAGTGTGTACTATAGGTCACAATATAATGTGTGTTTGTATATAGGTGAGTTTTTTTGAAAAGGAGTTTGAATTTTACATAAAAAAACATTTATCATTGTTATAAAAATATCAGGAAACATGTATATAAAAGGCACTTCAATATTTTATTAAATCTACAAACAAATATATGCCATATAATTTTAATTGCCAACCTTATAGACTATCTGACAATACTAATTGACATTCTATTCTTTATACAGCTATTTCAATTTTAAGGTTGTCCCCGAGCAAAACGGAAAAGTCGACTGCGCGAAAGGCTCAGGCTGAGAATCGCTAAAAAATTTATGAGTTTTCCAGCAAGCCTTTCGCGCTTGTATATTATTGACCTTTCCGCTTTGCTTGGGGACAACCGTAATTGAAATAGCTCTATATTGAACACCGATATTGATAAAGTAAGTCCCTATAGGCATTTCCAGCTTTTAGTGTATGCGTGCAGGGGGGAATGGAAAGTAAAGTATCATATTGCCAATTGTCATGAAAAATGTAAACACGAATCTATAATCAGGACGTATTTTGGTATCGAATGCTCGCTGTCACGAAGTACAATCCTGATTTCGGTATCGTTGAATGCTGCTACCGTCCAAGGGTCAAGTGAAATGCCCTTCAAATGTCTTGCGAATTCATCAAACGTTTCCTTTTCCGCGACGGGGGAGAAGGAGATGCAAGGCTTTCTGACGAAGCCGAAGGGTCGCTTTGTTGTCGTACAACTAACAAGAACATGATGTGTGCTACTGGACTTCGTTTCGTGGCTTCTCACCGGAAGATTTTCAGTCGGAACAGCTCCTGTATATAGCGATTTGTATCTGCAAGGAAACAAAACAGTTTTTACTAGACTATTAAACATTCGGTATGAATGTTTAATTTTATATGTGCCGCTAATATTCAATGAATTTGAAACAAAGACTGACAACTATATTAAGCATATCGTGCTCAATAAAATGTCTTGATAAAAAGTTGTGTTGACACAAGAACAGATTATTAACATCTATTCTTTTCTTTAAATCAATTCTCGTGTTTGTAAAACCACACGAAGCCATTCTTTACGGGCAGCTTCCCTCTTAGCCTTCGTTTCGTCTCCATCAGCCTTCTCAGTAGAGGGTATTTTAAACAAAGACAGATCGCTCGTTCAGTTAATCGAACAGTCAAAGAGTGTGCAGTTAGAACCTGTTATAGTCTAGCTACAGAAAAAAAACTATGAAATTCGCTAAAAAAGCAGTTCGCTTGAAGATTTCGATGTAGCAGTAACTCCCGTCTCATATTACACTCTATAGATTTGTTTGTCATTGATTTAATGATTTAATGAGATTCGGCTAATATAACGCCTGGGAGTTCGCCACAGGTTTCCCCAATTACGGCGACCCCATAATTAACTTTACGTTTACAATAATTTTAACAGTCGAAACGAACTAATTTAAGACAAAATACAATCGGTGCAAGAGACAACTAACAACAACTTAAAACACCATCAAGGGACCTAGCCATTTTACATTTAACGCACACAGATTTCCAAGTTCGCGGATCGTCATAGTTATAAATATTAGATAGCGCGTATTTGTAGTACGTCTTTAGTCCAGATTTGAAAGCTTGCAGGCCAATATCTCTATTACGGAGGTCACTATTTAAAACGTTCCACGTTTTACACGCTCTAATAAGATATGAAGACTGGTATGTTATAGTTTTAGCAAAGGGTATTACAAATCTAATCACGTTTTCGTTGGTTTCACGTCTGGTTATTCCTGATTCAGCTATTATTGGTAGAGCACTCTCATCAATATAGGTATAGTTGTTAATTAACTTATAGAGTAAAACCATGTCCAAATATTCATGCCAATAAGTTATTGGTAGTAATTCCAGTTGATGTAATCTGGTTATGTACGAGACATCGGTGGTAAACCCAAGATTTAAGATGTATTTCGTTGCTCTTCTCTGCACCTTCTCGATGTCTTCGATTAACTTAATGGATTGTGGGCACCATACTTGGGATGCATAACCAAAATTTCTGCTTACGAGTTGTAGATACAGAAGCCTCCTTGCGTTGATAACAGTCATCTCCGCGGTAGATCGTCTAATTAGCCCGAGCATTTGGTTGGCTTTCGACCGTACTTTATTTACTCGATCGTTCCATAATAGCTTAGGACTAATGGTGATACCCAGATCAAACTGTGCGTTGGAAACCAACAACTGATCATTGTCAAGCTTATAGGGATAAATTAAAGGCGATTTCTTTCTGGTTATTGACAACACTTTACACTTAGATTGGTTAAAGCGTAGCCGGTTTTCTATCGACCAACAAAGTAGGCCTTGAATATCATCTTGCAAGACCAATGCATCGCAGGGATTCTGCCCACATCTGTAAAGTTTGGTATCGTCAGCAAACAAACCGACCCGAGTGGAAGTGGATATGTTGTTAGGTAAGTCATTGATGTACACTGAGAAGAGAAAGGGACCCAGCAACGATCCTTGTGGGACTCCAGATGTGATTGGCAGAGACGTAGACGTAGCGCCGTGTACAGTTACCCGTTGGAAGCGACCTGATAAATAGTTTTGAAACCATAGCAAGAGAGAACCAGAGAAGCCAAAATCGTGAAGTTTTTGTAAAAGTATGGAATGGTCAACGCTATCGAAGGCCTTACAAATATCCATGAAAACAACATCAGTTTGTAAACCCTGATCCAAGTTTTTCCCAATAGTGTTTAAAATTGACAATAACTGAGCTGTACTTGATCTTCCGTTGACGAAACCATACTGCGCCGAATGAATGTTGGACTGTATACGGT